TTCCCAACTGCTGCGCTGCTAACACTGGGGCCGGGCCTCTCTGCGGCCACCTGGGCGCTGAGGGAGGCTAAGCCGAATTTCCGGTCCCCACCTACGCGATGCCAGGAGCACCCCCAGTTGTGACAACCACAGATGTCCCAAGACATTGCCCAGTGTCCCCTGGGGGCAGAATTGCCCCCAGATGAGAATCGCTGCTTGGCCTGTTCTGGAACTTCATATACAGTATGTGGAACCATTTGATTCCCGGATGGGTGAAGCCGATCTTTATCTCCGTCTCTTTTTCCATTTGGGGTTGCCACGGATCGCTCGTAAAAGTGTCACTTCTTTCTCTGTAGCTGGAACACTTCCATGGAGAAAGTTCTCTCTAATTTTGATGACCCCGAGGTATAGCTTATTGAGGAAGAGCAGGGAAAATGGCATGAGGGGTGGGTTCACCAGCGCCCCCCATGGGTCCGTAGTGGTTTTTGCCTTATAGGTTTGAGCACATGGATTAACATGACATATTCCAGCCCGAAGTGTTAATTTTATTGACACTTCATTTGTCCCATTATTTTCGGCCGATGGGAGCCCTCTCGAGTTAGCCGTGATCCCACGCGTCTTCCTGAACCCAGTGGGAAGGGCAGTCCCTGGTGTCCGGGGGAGCTCCGGAGGGCTGGCGAGCTTCAGTCCTGCAGCATGTGGCTTGAGTGTGGCATGTCACTTGTCCTTTGAGTTTCCAAATCCCAACTCTGAACCTCTTGAAGGATGGGACCTGGCTGATGTTTTCCCTGCCGAACCCCAAGTTCAGTGCCTGCTGCCCTAGTAGGTGCTCAGCCTCTGTAAGAGTCAGCTGTGGGCCTTGGCCCCTGGAGGCAGGAGGAGAAGGCAGGGTCTGCGGGAGGAAGGGCTTGAGCCAGGCCTGAAAGCCACAGCAGAGAACAGATGGGTCTGAGCAGCTTTCATCTTTTTGCACCCATCCACTAAGGATGAAATCCCTGTGCACACCGTGCTTAAGTACTGGGTCGTCTGTAGGTATGAGGGTATGAGGAGCTGTTGCAATGTCTTATTAGAACTAGGTGTGTCCGGGTGCGGTGGCTCAGTGATTGAGCATCAACCTATGAACCAGGTCAGGGCACATGCCCAGTTGCAGGCTCAATCCCCGAGGGGGCTTGTAGGAGGCAGCCAATCAATGATTCTCATCATTGATGTTTCTGTCTCTCTCTCCCTGTCACTTCTGAAATCTCTGAAATCAATAAAAATGCATATTTTTTAAGAAGAACTAGGCGTGTTAGTCTGGGGTTCGGGTTAGGAGAACAGCCTTTCCTCTCCCTCCCAGGGTTCTCCCCTTTGCCCAGGGCACCTGCCCCCTCCTTGGGACCTTGCGGCTTGCTCAGACATGCCAGGACTCTGCCAGATATACTTGGCCTAAATGACAAGCTGCTTTCACTTCCAAGGGCAGAGCTCAGGGGCGCCCAGAGAGCCATGGAGAAGTTCTAGACATCGGTAGGGTTCAACGTGGTGCTAGTTTTGGTTAGTCTTTGCAAACCCCCCTTTGGTGGGAGAATAGGGAGGAATCCATTTTTCTCACAACACAAGGCTTTTATTTTTGCTGCCTTGAATTGTCTCATGTCTTTTTTGTTCAGATTTTTAAATGTCAGCATAAAATAATTCATCTAGGACATCTCTTCCCAAGCTAAACAGCTACACCCATTTGTTTACATTCTTGTCTATGGCTTTTTCGGCATGGTAATGGTAGAGCTGAGTAATTGAGGCATAGTATAGCCTACAAAACCAAAAATATTGACTGTCTGGCCCCGCACAGAAAAAGTTTGCCCATTCCTGCATTAGAGTACGTTTCTTCCAGAATTTCATGTTTATAAAAACAACTGAATTCCTCTGATTGAAGGCTTACCTTGATCACACAACAGGTCAATGGGATTTCATTGCTTTATTTTCCATGTCTTTCACTTCTGAAACTGCCTGACCCAAAGGATCTGCACAAATCTGTGGCTAAGTGGAGGTTTCACTTTATCATCAGAACAGCTCTGCTCTTCCGGTCTGACCGGAGCACATCTCTCATGTTATCTTGGTCATATGTTATGTTCCTTGTACTGTTTATTTTATAATCTTTTTAAAAATTCTTAGCTGAGGATATTTTTTCCCATTGATTTCTAGAGAGTGAAAAGAAGGGGGAAAGAGAGAGAAACATCAATGTGAGAGAGAGACACATCGATTGGTTGCCTCCTGCATGTGCCCCAAACTGGGCCGGGAATGAACCTGCAACCCAGGTACGTGCCCTTGACTGGGAATCGAACCCGCGACCCTTTGTGCCGATGCTCTACCACTGAGCCACACTGGCCAGGGCTATTTGATCATCTTTACGTCAATTTTTCCTGATTCTTTTAGAAAGGAAACTTTATCACTTACTATCAATAAAAAGCCATATAATCCGCTGTAAATAATAAAAATAGCTAAACATTCATTCGTGTGCCTCTTCTGAGTACAGGTTAGTCCAAATTTCACACTTCAGGCAACTCTGGCTTGGGGGGTGGTACAGAAGGAGAAACTGAGGCTTACTGGCAAAATCACTTCTGCATAGACTACAGGGTAGGAAACATTTTGTTAACAGGCCAGGTAATTAATATTTTTTGGCTTTTTGAGCCACACAGTCTTTGTTACAAGTGCTCAACTCTGACATCATAGCATGAAAGCATAGATGACAGGTAGATTAATGTGTGTGACTATGTGCCAATAAAACTTTATTTATAAGGGCAGGTGGCATTTGGCTCAGGCCATAGTTTGTGGCTCCCTGCCATAGGTCTTTACAAAGCAAGTGAGTAAGTCTGGATTCAAACCCCAATCAGGTTACTTATAAAATGTGAAATTGTATTTTGTTTTGTTTTAAGATATGTTTTTATTGATTTCAGAGAGAGGAAGGGAAAGAGAGCTAGAAGCATCAATGATGAGAGAGAATCATCGATCGCCTGCCTTTTGCACGCCCCCTACTGGAGATAGAGCCTGCAACCCGGGCTTGCGCCCTGACCCGGAATCAAATCGTGACCTCCTGGTCACTGAGTGCAAACTGGGCTAAAGTGCAAACTTTTCACTACTGTGTTAAAGTTTAAAAGGAGCAGGATAACATTATCAGGATAGGCAGTTTCCATCCTCTGTCTTATAACTTCAGGAGTACTTTCTGGACTAGTTATCACTGACTTACTAAGATGATTCTCATGTAGCTCAAACTTCTCTCATCAAGTATGGTTGAGAAGAGGGGGTCATATGGCTGAGCTTCAAGTCCTGATTTGCTGCCTTCGAGCTGTGTGACCTTGGGCAAGTCGATTAAGCCCTCTGAACTCCAGTTTTCTCAACTGTAAAAATGAGAGAACAGTGCCTTCCTCACAGAGCTGTTAAGATTTGACAAGAATTCAAAAGAACCACCTAGAACATTGTGAAAGATTGGCCACTTTTAAAATATTCCAGGCACTAGTACTGGGTCAGCTGACTTTGTTTCTATGAAAGACTCGATAATAATTATTTTAGTCTCTGTTGGGCAAGAGCCCACGTACTCCACTATTGTAGTTTGAAAGTAGCCAAAGACAATATATGATGAACATGCATAATTGTATGCACTGGTTGTACAAAACCGGAAACAATTTGGATGTGTCCCGCAGGGTGTAGTTTGCAGACCCTCATGCTGGCCTAAGGTCTCTTAATCCTGGGAAGTTTGGTTCTCATCAGACCCATGTTGCAGGTGGGGAAAAGTAAGGCAAGGAAATCCTTCACTCTGAGGCCTCAGAGCTTGCAAGCATCAGACCCGCATAAACTTTTGGGCAGTCGGTGCGAGACCAAGGCCCATACTCTGAAGTGTGCACCAGGGGAGCCCGAGCTGCTTGCTCTGTCTGCACCCCAGCCTTCATAATGCTTCTCCCGCCTCCCCCCTGCAGCCCACCTTGCCACGTCCCTGGAGGGCGTCGACGTCGCCTCGGTGCAGCAGCAGCGGCAGGAGCAGAGCTACTTCGTGCGTCTGGGCTCCCTGTCGGAGCGGCTGCGCCATCAGGCCTACAAGCACTCGGTGAACAAACTGCAGCACACCCGGCAGAGGGCCCAGGAGGCCCTGCTGCAGCTGGCGCAGGCCCTCAGCCTGGTGAGCCCGCCTGCGGCCTGGGGGCACGGCACAGCAGCATCCGCGCTCACGCACCTTCCCCAAACCTAGTGGCTAACGCTCCCCTTCTCCACGTCCGCCTGGGCTGGTTCATGGGGCTGTGGTCCTGAGTGAGTTTGCCGGGGCCGCCATAACAAAGTCCCATCGTCTGGGCAGCTTAAACAACAGACATTTCTTACTTATTGTCCCAGTTCTGGGGGCTGAAGTCCAAGATCAGGTGTTGCCAGGGTTGGTTTTTCCTGAGGTCTGTCTTCTTCGCTGCAGATGGCCATCTTCTCCCTGTGTCCTCACATGGTTATCCCTCTGTGAGTGCCTGATCTTCTCTTCTAAGGACACCAGGCTTCCTGGAGTAAGGCCCACCCTCTAACAACCCGACCTGCAAATACAGTCACATTCTGAGGGCCAGGGGGTGGGACAGAGTTCAGCTCCTGACAGCTCGGCTGGAGGCTGGGCCTCCCGTGGGCTCCTCCTTAAGCAAGACAGCTCCTCCCCTGGACGTGGTCTGAGGGACCCACGTGCGGTGAGAGCACATGAGCCCTTTCTCTTGTTGTGTCTTGTTGAAAGTCAGTTTCATAGACGTATAATTTACGCACAGTAAAAACCACCGCTTTCAAAGTGTACCACTTGAGGAGTTTTATAAATACAAATGGCCATATCACTGCCACCGAAATCGAGATTTGGAATAGTTCCGTCACCCCACACAGTTCCCCTGCCTCTTATAGTCAAATCCCCAGCCAGGTCTTATTTTTCTGTTCCCTAAAGAGCTAAATTGCTGTTATTTCCTCTTTACTCCCTCTGCTAACGATGTCTCCTCTCTTTTAAAATACTTTTATTTGTGGTAAACCACACGTAACACAAAATTTACCATCATAACCGTTTGTAAGCACAGCTCCGTGGCATGAAGCACATTCAACACTGCTGTGCAGCCACCACCACCTTCCATCTCTAGAACCTTCTCTTCTTCCCAAACTGACACTCCATCCCCATTAAACACTGACTCCCATCTCCCCTCCCCCAGCCCCTGGTCCCCACCATCTGCTTTCTGTGTGTGGATCTGACTCCCCTCGGGACCTCCTAGGAGTGGAATCAGGATCTGTCCTGTCGTGACTGGCTTATGTCACTGAGCATAATGTCCTCCAGGCTCATCTCCACTGTAGCAGTTGTCAGCGTTCCCGTCCTTTCTGAGGCTGAATAATGTTCCATCACAAGCACTTTTAAGCCTCTGCTGTTCCATCTGCACATGACCTGTTGGCCACAGCCTGTGAGGCGGCCAGGCCCAGTGCAAGGGGAGGGGAGAAACAGACAAAATGGGAGGAGCTGCAGAAAATCTGTGACCACCAGGTAGCTATGGAAACAGCACCCTCCTCCCTTACCTCCGCTATCTCAGATAAAAGGAGGAAGGAGGGCTCCCCAGGCTCCTGTGGGAACCCCCTCCCCGGGAATGTGCGGGGGCCCTGCTGAGCTGGGCCAGGCACCGGAGGCAGCCTGTCTCACTGCTCTCTGTCCTACTCCAGATGGAAAGTGTCAAGCTGGGCATGGATCAGAAGCTGGTGGAAGGTCAGGAGAAGCTACACCAGATGTGGCTCAACTGGAACCAGAAGCAGCTCCAGGGCACGGAGAAGAGCCTGGCGAAGCCAGAGGTATCCATTGTGGGGCGGGGCATGGGTGCTTGGGGCCCTGACCTCCCTCTCCACTCCCGTCTGATGGACCAACCTGCCTGAAATGCTTCCCCAGCCTCGCCTCCCATTAACTGCTTTCAGGACTCACCGACACCTCCTCCGGGAAGCCTGCCTAGTTTTCTGCTCTCGGGTGTGGGTGTTGCTGACAGCGCTCAGGGTGGTGCTGTTCTGTCTCCTTCCTGGCTGGGGAACTTCGGGACCAGATCTGAGCTGCTAACAACTTCTGCCTTGAACATTCTTCCAGACCACCTGTTTTTTTTTTTAACTGTTAAAAAATTTGTTTTGAGATATAAAAATGTCTTGTACTTTTAAAAAAAATTATAATTATTGAGATATAGTGCACATACTGTATAATTCACCCCTTTAAAGTATTCAGTGGGTTTTAGTATACAGATGCTCCTCAACTTACAATGGGTTATTTCCTGATAAATCCATGGTAAGTGGAAAGTAGCGTAAGTCGAAAATGTATTTGATACATCTAACCTACCGAACATCACAGCTAAGCCCAGTCCAGCATGAACATGCTCAAAACACGCACATTAGCCTTCAGTTGGGCAAAATCCTCTGCTGCCCCTGCCCAGCACCGCGGGACAGCAGTGGACCACACATTGCTAGCCCAGAACAAGATCCACATTCAAAATTTAAAGTATGCATATCGCTCTTGCACCATCATACAGTCGAAATCTCAGAACCATCATAAGTTGGGGACTCTTACTGGGGACAACATCCTCACCTGTTTGTTTCCCACTTCTTTGACTGGGTCTTCTCAGTCCCCCTTTTTTTTAGTCCCTTTTCTGATTTCTCCTCATCTCCCTAAGTTCAGAATGTTGGAGCGACCCAGAGCCCAGGCCTCGGATCTCTTTTTCTTTAACATGCACACCCCCCAACCAGGGATCCAGCTCACAACCTGGGCCCTGCCCGGTAACGGAACCTGCCGCCTACTGGTGTACAGGACAGCGCTCCAGCCAACTGAGCCACGTCGGCCAGGGCTGCGCTTCACTCCTTCCCAGAGCGGAGGAATATTCCCGCGAGGGGCCATGTTGTGTGGGTCCGTTCACCAGATGGTAGGCATCCAGTTGTTCCGCTTTGGGCTATTGCGAATAGCGCCCCTATGAACACGGGTGCACAGGTTTTTGTGTGGATGGATGGATGTTTTCATTTCTCTTGGGTAGTTACTGCTGGGTTACATGGTAACTATGGTTTCACATCTTGAGGAACCACCAGTCTGTTTTCCACAGTGACTGCCCCCTGGCCAATCCAAGGGCTCCACTGGCTCCCCGTCCTTGCTGACTCTGTTACTCTCTGTCTTCGGGCTCCTAGCTGTCCCCGTCAGTGTGAAGTGGTGTTTCACTGTGGGTTGGAGCTGCGTCTCCCTAGTGGCGAATGAAGCTGAACATCTTGTGCTTATTGGCCGTTTGTGTGTCTTCTTTGGGGAAATGTCTGTGCCTGTTTGTCAGTTTGACCTGTGTATATCTCACGGTTCAAAACTCTTAAGAGCCGGCCCTGGATGGTGTGGCTCAGTTGGTTGGAGCATTGTCCCATACCCCAAAAGGTGGAGGGTTCAATTCCTGGTCAGGGCACATACCCAGGTCGTGGGCTTGATCGCCAGCCGGGCGCGTGCAGAAAGTGGCCTGTCGAAGTTTCTTGCATAAATGTTTCTCTCTTTCTCTCCCTTCCTCTCTCTAAAAATCAACAAACTTTATTTTTTTTAAAAAACCCCAAACTCCAAGAGCTGGTATTCCGAACGATAGTGCCAGGCGGTCTCCCTGTGGAAGGGTTTCCTAAAGGTGGGCGATAGGACCCCCGTTTTCTTTTTCCCTGGCTTTGGGTCAAGTTTTCCCCAAAGCAGTGGTCCTGATCGCCCCCCGCCCCACTCTCCCTTCTCAGCAGGTCGAGTTCCAGACGCTCACCATGTTGCGTGACATTGCCCAGCAGCTGCAGGCCACCTGCACCTCGCTGGGGTCCAGCATCCAGGGGCTGCCCAGCCACGTGAAGGACCAGGTGCAGCAGGCTCGCCGCCAGGTGGAGGACCTCCAGGCCACCTTTTCCGGCATGCATTCCTTCCAGGACCTGTCCAGCTCCATCCTGACGCAGAGCCGCGAGCGCGTTGCCAAGGCCCGCGAGGCCCTTGACCACTTAGTCGAGTACGTGTCCCAGAACACGCCCATCACGTGGGTGGTGGGACCCTTCGCCCCTGGAGTCGCGGAGAAAGCCCCAGAACCAGAAGAGAAGAAGTAGGATAGACAGGAAAGGGGTTCGGGGTCTCAGTCCGTTCCCGAGCGGTCAGCAAGGAGCACTGGACCCCCTGGACCCCCACTCATCTCAGCTACTGCCCTGGAAGCTGGGATCCTCCCAACAGACCATCCTGAGCCTGGAGGAAGAATGTCCTGAGCCTCACCTCCTCAGTCATTGGTGTGAGGTTTCCGAAAAAAAATTTTCTAGAAGGTTTTAAAGAAATTGCTTTAGAAGAAGGTTTCAAAAAATATATTGTTTCTTCCCTAAAAGCCAGGGATCTCGCTCTTCTATCCCACTTCCTTTTGTACATCAAGGGCCACAGACCTCAGTGTTTAGGTCCCGAACTTGGACTTCTGGTCTGTGAAGTGGGCCTCCTGCGGCAGGGAGGGGCTGCCTGGGTGCGTTGTAGAGCAGGAGGGGGCGAGGCCTGCCTGGGAAGCCGTAGGTGCCTGGAGCTTCAGTGTTGCCTTAATAAATTTTATCTGCAGCTGAGTACAGGCATGTGTGTGTGTATCTGTGTGTGTTCCCAGCAGCTGAGCAATTCTGGCGTCTCTGTGGCCGGAATTTTTCCTTTGCTCACGAGGGTG